CGCTCAGCCCCACCTGCCTCACAGGGTGTCTTGTTGTGGGGTGGGGAAGGAAAAGGGATTTGTAAGCCGCTCTGAGACTCCCGAGAGAAGGGCGGGGTATAAATCCAATCTCCTCCTCCTCCTTCTCCTTCACATGCAGCCAGCTGGGTGACCTTGGGCCATTCACAGTTCTCTCAGAGCTGTTCTCTCATGAGCTGTTCTCTCAGAGCTCTCTCAGCCCCACCTATCTCACAGGGTGCCTGCTGTGGGGAGGGGAAGGGAAGGCAACTGTGAGCCACTCTGGGACTCCTTTGGGTAGCGAAGGGTGGGGTATAAAAGTCAACTCTTCTTCTTCTCCTCCTTAAGAACATAAGAGAAGCCAATGTTGGATCAGGCCAAAGGCCCATCCAGTCCAACACTCTGTGTCACACAGTGGCCAGAAATACCAGGTGCCACCAGGAGGTCCAGCAGTGGGGCCAGGACACCAGAAGCCCTCCCACTGTTGACCCCCCCTCCCAAGCACCAAGAAGACAGAGCATCACTTGCCCCAGAGCCCCTATCTATACCTTGTGGACAATGCTCCCTCTAAGCTGTGGAGTCTTGTGAGCAAAAGTCCTACTTTGCGAGCTACTGGCATTGAAGTTGTGAGCGAGCGATTTGGCTACTGCCTAGTTTGCTCTGGAGCCATCCTTCCTGAGCTAAGACAAAAACCTGTGAGCTGCAGGCAAAAAAACTGTGAGCTAGCTCTCACTAACTCAGCTTAGAGGGAACACTGCTTGTGTCTAATAGCCACTGATCCATATACCTATCTAATCCCCTCTTGAAGCCGTGCTTCTCCTCCTCCCCAACAGCCCCACAGTCTTCAGCGCAAGGTTACACAAATGACCTTTGGTCTGATGCGCTTGGAAAGAGAGAACTGTGGGCCACATCCCAAACTGAGGCCGACAGCAATTCTGATCCCTAGCCCAAGGAAGAGATTATCAGGAGAGGCTATTAGCATTCTGCATCTAAGCACAAGCGTCCCATTTGCCTTTCCGGGGTGTGTGTGTGTATCATCTGTCTTTCTGCTAGGCAGCTCTGATGGAACTCAATTGGGACGCAGCCCCCCCGGTGGGTCGGCTGCTCGGAAACCAAGACAAATGCCCGCACATCCAATCCGTATTTTAGACAAGAAGATGCCTCCAACTCTAGGAAGGACAGGGGGGCTTTATAAAAAGCCGAGGCAGCTAATGCAAGACCTGATCGATGTGCCTCAGGGGTCTGGATATTACACAGGCCCCGAGCTGAAGATTTATTCCCCGCAATTTGCAATCTGGGAGCCATACATCTCGGGGCTGATAGCGCCGCGGCAGCTTTACAGCTTCATAAAATTTGCTGGCTAGGTGCAGTCCTGGTCACCTGATCTCGGAAGCCATGGAGTCGCTACCTAGTCCTTGGTCTTACATAAGAACATAAGAGACGCCAAAGTTGGATCAGGCCAAAGGCCCATCCAGTCCAACACTCTGAGTCGCACAGTGGCCAGAAATACCAGGTGCCATCAGGAGGTCCACCAGTGGGGCCAGGACACTAGAAGTCCTCCCACTGTTGACCCCCCCCCCAGCACCAAGATGACAGAGCATCACTTGCCCCAGAGTCCCTATCTATACCTTATGGCTAACAGCCACTGATGGACCTCTGCTCCATATGCTTATCTAATTCCCTCTTGAAGCCATCCATGTTTGTAGCCGCCACCACCTCCTGTGGCAGTGAATTCCATGTGTTAATCGCTCTTTGGGTGAAGAAGTACTTCCTTTTATCCGTTCTAACGCGACCGCTCAGCAATTTCATGGAGTGCCCACGAGTTCTTGTATTGTGAGAAAGGGAGAAAAGTACCTCTTTCTCTACCTGCTCTATCCCATGCATAATCTTATAAACCTCAATCATGTCACCCCTCAGTCGTCGTTTCTCCAAGCTAAAGAGCCCTAAGCGCTTTAACCTTTCCTTCTTTGTTTATTACGATTTTTCAGC